TACTAAGAAATCAAATATTCCTATGAATATAGTTTGACATGAAGAATGCAGACATACGGAGAGCATACAGAGAATGACAACAATATTTGTAAAAGAACACCTAAATTGATTCATCAGGGAGGATGAAAGTCACTAAATATTTAGTGCTTGGTTAACTGCTGGCAAATAAGGAGAGAAGGCAAGACAACTGTTTACAAGTCTTTGAGAGATACAGTGACCAAGGAGGAAAATAGCTACATTTAAAGCTTACGAATAGCATAGCATGGCCAGAGGCTTTTTGATACTGATGCAGGGCTCTTACGAAACAAACAAAACCTGCTGAAGCTCAGGAAGAAATTACTTTAATATCTGCACTAATCTAGTTGGAGAAACAACCCCTATGTTAAAGAGTAATAAATAGTCTGAAGCAGCCTTTCAGCATTTAATTTTCATTTTTTTTATACAGCAGGTCACCAAAATCTTGCTTATAAGTTGAAAAAATAAAGTTTTATTCTTCACAGACACACAGAGTCACAAGGCTACATGTTGGGGCATCATATCTCTCTCCCTAAAGCCACATCAATTACATCAGTGTATTTCCTGACAGGTGCTTAACTAATTTATGATTTTAGGACCCCATTGACGGAGACTCCCTCTCCAGAATTGTTTCCAATGCTTTTCTGTCCTCCTTGTTTTTAAAATGTCTTACTTGTATCTTCCTGAGAGGACAAGATCCATCCAAGAAACTAACATATTTCCCATAGATTGACATGATTTCTGTGTCTTAGAGATTTGCAATGATCTCTGATCATTATTTTTCTCTTCTGTAGTATTTCCAGTGGGTCTACATAGTTTTTTCTTGAAATCAGACATAATAGTCAAACTGATATATCAGCCATGCTGCCTGTAGCAGGACAGTTTTATGTGACTTGCAAATATCTGCCCTATTTCTGTGTGCTGGTATTCATTTTTTTGCAACAAAATGTGGCAAAAGCCACCATAACACCATAGCATGTATGGTGTTAAACCTGTGAAATGTTATAGCACCCAGATCCACTTCTGTAGAATTGCTGCCAGTCATCCCATCCTGCCTCCCTCAGCCTTTATTTGCGCAATTGTTATTCTATCTAAATTAAATGCTTTGCTTTTGTCCTTTTCAGTCTGTCAACACACCTGAATTCTAATACCATCATCCAGTGCATTTGAACCCTTGTCAGTTTGGTCCGTCTGTAGGTATAATGCTACTCTCTAATCCATCATGCAAAGAAATCACCAAGGAGTGTCCAAAACAGACTCTCGAACAAATTTTCTCAGGGTATCTTTCCAGAGTGATAGTAAAATTTTGATAACTACACTCTAAATATTCTCTTCCACACAGTACCAACTTCTGCAATTTCATCTAAACCAACTGTCCCTAATTTGTTTATGAGAATATTGTGAGACTGAGGACTATACCTGTTGCCCACAGTATCTCAAATTTAATTTCTCTTTTAGTTTCTCTTTAATTTCTGCTGGCTCTGAGTCTGGCTAATGTGACACTCATTCCATAAGTACTGTTTATTGGTCTACTTGTTTTGAAAACTCCAAATGTAAAAAGCCCCAACCTACTCTTTCCTATTCCATCCTAAGTTCTTTTCTCTTTGTCACTGATGTATTGGCTGCCTGGTGACAATTAACATGAATAGTGAAGAACAAAAAATCTTCGACACTCAGCACCACTTATTTTTGGATTTTTCTTTCTGCTTAGTAGGCCAATTTTTTCCTAGTTCTCCCTCCTCTTCTAATGTCTGTATAGTGTATCTGTACAGGATCTGAAGGTGCACATCCATGCACATCTAACTGCAGGGATTTTTGACTGTGTGGGACCTCAGTAGGTAGGGACCCACTTTGCTGGAAGCTGGGTTATGAGTTTTGATGTGATAGTAGAGATGCACAGACGTTTGAAGGGACTGTGCAACTTTGGCAGGAGTATGCTCTTGTGTTTTTTAATGGCAAAGGGTCTGTGTTTGTGCAGCACTGTCATCTTAGCACGATGTTATCTATCTATAGAATGGAGTTTATGTACTTGGTGAAATAAATCTGTTTATGGTGCAACATTTCAACTACATAGACTTAAGATCCTAAGTGCAAAACAGCAGAGGGAATAATAAATGATTAACTGATCCAAGAATGTGCAGTCAACAGTACTACGTTTTGTCTGGACTGGAAAATAAAGCTAACAAAATGAATGTGATGGTTAATGGTTGCCATTTTGAGTAACTAGAGCTTGAACCATAAACTTATTTAGTCTGAGATCTTGAAAGAACAGCCTCAGTGCTTTCAGTCTTTCATTAGGGCAAGGTTCTCTTTATTTTTTAGTAAGAAAAAATACAATAATAGTCACTTTATTTCAATACATTACTTTAAAATGCTAGGTTCACAGTGAACATTTCAGCTCACAATGATTCTTGTCAAATGTGTCTCAGCTCTTTGTTTTTCACTTCAGAATTTCCCAAATTTTACTGGAGGAAGGATCCTGAATAGGACTTCAGTTCAATAAGGCTTTAGATATGCTGCACAGACTTCCCTTTGCTCTGATTTCAGGCTCTGCGTCTTCATGGGATTATAAGAGTTCATGCGTGGGTGAAATTAATTACCAGAGTTGTTAGCCTTACGTAAGCAAATAATCTCCTCTTGCTAAACTTTCATTGCAGCTAGTTTAACTATTCACGGCAGGATTCCTATTATTTTGTTTCATTATCCTTTATTTACTAATAAAGCTGTTTTACATAATGATTCATAATCTGGAAGCAATTTAGTATGTCATCACGCTCCTATTTGTTGCCTTCATTAACGAGATGAGAAAGCACTGTCAATCAGAATGGAGGTTGTTACTAAATATATAAATTCAGTGCCAAGGGTAAGCAAAGTTCTGATAAAGAAATTTTAGGTCTGTTTTTGAGAAGGGCTGCAATGAGGTTTTGCAGTTGGAAATTAACTGCATTTTTGTATTTGCTTGGAAAGAAGGACTATGCTCTATAGGTGACCATTAGGGCTGTACACTTAGCTTTCCATAGCTACTTATATTTGAGTGAAAAGACTGGTAAGTATGAAGCAAACTGGAAGGAACCTGAAAGTATTTATCACTGTATAGATAGTTCTTCCTTTTCTGTAGATGAAGGGAGAGAATGCAAATTGGACTACTTCAATTTTTACCTACAGTCAGTATCAGCTTCAGCTGCACATGCTATTGCTTGAGAGCAGGGTATTGTGGGACGTAGACCTGGCTCTTATGGTTTATACTGTTTGATTTAAGGCCAGTGATTAATTAGGTTATTGCATCCATAGCTGGAGTTGTATGCGTAACCCAAGATTTATGTTGCTGTAGCAACATGGACACAACTATGCTGAATTTCCTAGATCTTTGAAGTAGGAGTTCTTCTAATTCAGAATGGGATTTGGAATTCCCATCAACACATGAAGAGTGTAACTAAGAGGGGCCCTCATTAATAGACTGAAATCTTGCATGTCTGACTCTCAAACTGAGTTGAGTAAATTCCTGCTGCTCATCAGAGGGTTAGAGAAAATAGGAGTTGCAAGAGAGAAGACAAAAGGAAAACCTGTGCCTAAAATTAATCAAGAACAATTGATTTGAAGACCAATAGGAGCACTGCAGGATTTGATGACTACTGTGACAATCACAGGGTGCTTCGAAGAGGCCACTGACAAAAAGTTTGGAAAGTATTTGGGGTATTGTGACTGGCCTGGAACTAGAGACAAGGAGGAACTGAACATGATCCAGATCAAGAATTCACAGTATTATATTAAAGTAGTGGTGGTGATTTAGCACATGTGAAAGTAGATGGAGGAAGTTGTGAAAATCTTAGGTGAATGGGAGACATAACTTGAGGTGAATGAGGAGTGCTACAAGGGATTCAGAAGAGCTGCAGGAAGGTGTGGAAAGCTTTGGGTAGGACTGAACAATACCTCCAGCCCTTCAGTGTTAGGGCACCCTGTGCATCTGGGAGCCAGCAACTGTTTTGTCCGTTTGAGGATAAAGTATTTAATACAGTTAGACAAAATTGCAAGTCAGACACTTTCAAAAACAAGCCAAAAAAAGTCAGGGGAAGAAAAAAGCGCAAATAAAAACAATCCTGACTTTTTAAAATGTTGGAAACTAGAATTATTAATTTTTGGTTGTTGTCATTTCAAGGTCACGTGTTTAAATGTATTTATTACTTCAGCAGCAATAGAAAATGTCCGAGTAACGTGACTTTTCCTTAAAGCAGTATCCTTGAACAGCTAATTATCTAAAACGCTTCAAAATGTCAATGGAAGAGGAAAAAATTAGATTACCTTGGAGTCAGAGAACTTTTAGTGAGATGTATATCTATGAAAATATATGATATCATATGTTTGTGCAATTCCTTCTACCTCCTGGAAAGCTGTAATATTCTAGTTTATTTTTTATATTGCGTTTTTTTTTGTGGTTTGGTGTGGTTGTTTTTTTTTTTTTTGACAGAGAAGGAAAGCAGCAATGCAGGAAAGAATCAATGGACTATAACCTATTCAACTTTCAAACAGTTTTGTTCGTATACCACAGTTACATATGATGGACTGGTGATCCATTTCCCTGCAAGTTCAACAGAAATGGCACTACAACTTTCATCCAGTTTTCTCACTTCATAGATCAGCTGGAGCAAGGGCCTGTTGCAGTCTCATGAATGAACCTTGGTGACCAGGAAGCACTTGAAGGGGAAGACAATGCTGCTCTTCATCTGTTGCCCAAACTGCTTGTTGGTAGAGATCTCACATTTCTTAAGCTGCATCCACATTTTGGGGACTTGTCAAGATTTGCTGCAGAGTGACTGAGCAGCTGGGTGCCAATTTACTGCATGCTTCCTACTCTGCACCAAGTCTCTGCGTGAACCCTTTGACAGGAGCATAAGCTACCGCACAAGAAAAGAATTGAGCATGGTGAAAGTGTGTCCCTAATTACCACCTTCTGCTTTTCTTCTCCTCTTTGATCACTTACCGGACAGCTTCCAGGTAACTTAAATGAGAGCTGGAGCAGATGCTGAAGCTGTGGGATTTCTGCACATCTTGGATTTTCATTACCTCCTTTGCAAAACAGATTTTGAAATTGTCCTGGAAGTTACAATCCAGAAGTTGGATGAACTGAACATTTTCTACATTTTATATGCAACAGAGCCACTGTCTGGTACTTTCAAGGCAAAAAATGTTGTAATTATTGGTTTTGCTTGTCAAGTTACATAGTTAGAAGTTTCTGATGTTTTCAGTGACATTAGACTTACATGAAACTGATACAGCTGCAGGTCCAGTCAGACTCCAACAGTTTTCTTGCCTTTCGTAAACATTGAAACAAAGAGGTTTATTACTAGGACATTCCCCTGCTGTGCTGCAAAGTAAAACCTGGTAGTGTTATGGATCTTGACTGGAAAGTCAAGTTGGCAAGTCTGATTTCATCATGTGACTTAATTATCTACAAAATATAAACAATCGGAATGGAAATTGTAATGAAATGGTAAATGAAATAATTTGTATTTTGGTAGACTAGTGTTATTCTAAGATTCTAGCCAAATTATTATCTTGATAATGTTTATTAAGTATATCTAAAAATAATAACCTCTAATGCAGTGTTATAATATATGGAAGTGTCTAGCATGTCCTGGAAAGCAGAAGGCTCAGTACCAGTCCCAGCGAATAAGAAAGTTAAAGAAAACAATAATCTTGTGATTCAGTAGGAAACTAAACCAAATCTCAGCCTACATTGGAATTCAATAAAGACTTTTTAAGGAAAGTATAATATAGCATTGTATCAATGGGAAAATTCTTACCATCTCTAAACCAAGTCCAAGTTGGCTTTTGTGTTTATTTAAAATATTCAAATTAACCTTCAGTTCAGACAGCTACTTCTGTAGTTGGCATAAACTGAAATTTCTGAAGCACTTGGAATTCAGTATGAACGATTGAAAACATTCTCAGGATTTTTATTTAAGAACTGCAAAGATTGAACAAAGAGCTTCAAGTGGAAAGATAAAAACACTTGGAAACACCGAACCACTTAGTAACCAAACATGAAATATAAACTAGAGCAAGGAGCATATCAGATGACAAAAGAAAATAAATGATTGTTAGTCTCTGGAATTTCTACTTACAAATAAAGGATTTCTAGACAGTTGAACAACAAAATAGAGTATGTTTTGAAGCAGAGAAGAAAGATAGCTGCAGACATGAAACGCCCAATTTGTTTTATTTAAGAGTCAAATAAGAAAAAAAAGAATGGGCTTTTGACTCTAAGGAATAATTATTTGAAATTACTGCAACTAACCCATCCTATCTGACAACATGACTTAAAATGACATTCTGAGAAAAGTTCTGATTGAGTAACTTCTGGCACATGTAGTATTTCAAGTCTGTGTTTCAATACTCTCTCCTTTGTTGTTCAGTCTGTTGTAGTTTTCCACTCTTCAAGATGACACCGAAAATGCACCTACTAGGAACTTACTATACTGTTAGTGAATTTTTATTTTTTTTTTTCCAGCTAGTAGAAGGTAATGCATCATAAAAGAAAATTGTGGATCGTGCCAGAAAAAAAGAAAGTAAGGATTGTGAAAATGTTGAGCATAAATGTTTTGAATAGATATATTCATAGATACTAAGGCCAGAATAGACTGTAACAATTGTAACAATTTGGCCCCACCTCTTACATAGCAGAGTATTTCAAACTAGTGACCCGGTTCAATCCTATATACTGTTCTTGTATACAAGACTCACACACACTTAACTTGAAGTACATGATTTTTTTTTTTTTCAGTCACTGGGTTTAATTCCCATTTTCTAAATTAAAAAGATTGTACTTGTAGGACAGGTGTTTTGAAGAGCTCACATTATTTGTTATTATATGTAATATTTTATTTTTTTTTCTCATATTAAGTTATTTCAACAGGTAAGTGGCAGAAAGAAGCATTTTTATTATGAGTCCAAAATATATATTATTTTCAAAATCAACGAAAACAAAAGAACTTGTAGTGTGTTTGAAGTCTTTGCTTCTGAAATTTTCAAATGCAGCAAAGGTGTCACTTTTATAATTTAATCTTGATAATATATTGTTTAGTTTCTTGGAATAATTTTGGAAACAGGCTTTAATCTCTGCTGACTACTTGGACAATTAAATAAGTTCTGTTTTAATAATGGGAAGGAATGTTTCCTGAAAAAACAGACTGAATTAGTCTGAAGAATGCCTTAACACTTTCAAATGTAATCTCATCAGTTTCTATTGGATTGGATGACTTGATTGGTGCTTGGATGAGAGAAAACCTTAAGGAAGATGTAAGATTCTATATCAGGGCATTCAGTGTCTGCATCTGCTTGGTGTTTTACATGAGCTTAGGAGTCTAAGAAGATACCGCTATTCAAGTGAATCATTAAGCTGAAATACTTTGCTAAGAAATGAAGATAGTGGAGTGGGAGCAAGGGAATCCTGGTTTTGTTGCTGAAAAATTTCAACCAACTCATCACTTCTAGAGGGTAGATAAACTACAGATAATTATGCATGATTTAGGGGCTTTGGTTTCAGGGTCCAGGCTGTATTTCAAATAGCATATACTAATAGTTTGCTTACCTACTCACCTTAGCTGCAACTAGAAAGTCTATTCTTAACTTCCTGAACCTAATCAGTCTGCAGTGTGCTGCATACAGGCTCCGTTTTGCACCAGATAAGCTTTTACTGCATTGGGGAACTTACTTAGGAATGTGCATATTATTGGATAGGCACATGCAGTTATATAATGCTCCTCAGGCAAGATGATACATTCAAACTGTTTCTTGACTTTTGTGAAATAAAATCAGATCCTTTGAGTAAAGACCATTTTATAAATATGATGGCTGTTAGATGGGTGTAATGATTTTATGCATCTAAACTTACAAGGTCCTGAATTATGCATGTCTATAAAATGTAAAGTCTACACTACAACAGTTTGTATTTTGTTGTACATAATCTTTCTTCATTATGTTTTCAGGATGGAACATGAGGCTACCCAGCTAGAAAAACAGCACGTGCATAGTGTGTATGAAAATACAGCTGCTTACTTTAATGATCTGCAGAGCAAAGCATGGCCTCGTGTTCGAAACTTCCTGCTGGAGCAAAAGCCTGGCAGTCTTGTTGCTGACATAGGTAAGCCATTTCTTGGGGTGGTGTGAAAGATTGTCTATAGACTTTATTATTTTATATGTTAATATATGTTATATGTTAATATGTTAATATGTTATATGTTAATATATATAGTATAATATATGTGTCCTTCAGAGCAATTGTTTTTTAAAGTAATTTGTTTTAAAGATTGTTTGAAAATTGTTTCTAAACTCATATTAGGTCCCATATACCACTTGGTTTATTTCCTTGACAGTGTATCAGGTAACCAATAAATATGATTTTTGCCTTACTTTGATTGAGCTAAGCCTTAATCTATTAGTTTACTCATCGACTTAGTGGTCTGTCATTCCCTTGGTGTTCTTTTTAAAAAATGGTGTTAATGGCTCAATTATTTCATATTTCAGTTTCTTTAGATCTCTTGGTTATAAGTATTGCTGTTCTGCAATTTAATGCTTTTTGTTTGTTATAAAACTCCTCCTATCAAGGATTCAACATAAGAAAAATCTGATGTGATGACTGTTTGAAAAAAAAAAAAAAAAAATTATGACCTGAGAATCTCCCTATTATCCCTTACACAGACACTGAAACTCATTTTCCTGCTATGGTCTTCCCTACGTGTTCAATTTATATCTTGATTTTCTGTTGCACGTCCAGACTTTTTACAGGTTTCCATATCGTGGAGCTCTTGCTTTGTGTTTGTGTTATGAATTCAGTGCTATACAGCACATCGTTGCAAACAAGATGCTCCTTTGCACCACTGGATTCTCCTCACTGTTTAGACTAATAAAATGCTTTTAGGTAGCGAAGTGTAATAAATGTACACAACAAATTATGCATCTATCTTCTTCTATCAGAGAACACCATTCTTTGAAGATGTTGTAGGCCATAATCGAAAGATAATGTATAATTATCTTGCTGCTGTTGAGCAGTTCTCCAAAAATACTTGATTGCTGTTATTTTGAATATGTGTTTTCTTTGATATGTCTGCATCATTTTCACTAATAAATTGGAAATATTCTATGTCATAGACTCATTCAACAGCCAGTTTAACATGGTATTCTCAGCCAAAGTTTTTTGTCACCTCAATACAAGTAATTTGAAGCTTAGCTGAAGTTCTTTGAGGCTTTATCAGCAGGCATCACAGTGGTTGCTGAAACCTTAAGATCACCCTGTTACAGTTTCATCTGAAATTATTTAAATGCATGTGATACATCTGGAGAGGAGGTAGATACTTAGAGCTGCCAGTAAGACTATTCCCATGAAGGCACAGAAGGTACCTCCTTCTATGAGGTTTAATAAGATCTACAGGAATCTGACTGTAGTGTTTATTTTTGGTATGTATTTTGGGAGGAGGGTTGCCTAGTGGCACCAAAATTTTCAAAATGAGATGTTCAACTGATAATTTCCCTTTCTGTTTAATATCACCTTTTATTAAAGAAATGTTGTTTGCTACCTTTACATGAAGCATGGTAGTGGTAGCAGAATAAAATACAGTTTTGTGTAATTGCCTTATTATTGTTCATTCATCAAAATAAATGACAATATCATGGCCATTGTTAACAGCTTCATGAAGGAATCCACTTTCTGATGACTCATTCAAAAGTGAATCTCCTACAAGTGTAGATTTTTAGAGTACTGAGAGTGTTGTCACTATTTAGCTTCATTCCACAGAACACCCTATACTTCCAAAAACTCACTGTGGTTAAAAAGCACTCCACCAAAAGCCATGTGTTAAGCAACTGAATCTTCTAAATGAATGTACGTTTGACTGTGTTCCTTCTGCAAGCACAGTAACCAAAAATACCTTATACTAATTTTAAAACTTACGCTAACATGCAGTGCTTTGTTTTATTGCATATATTCCTTGAACCGCATTAACAATATTCATCTTTTCCACTGCTCTCAAGTGTTACTTCAAAGAATAGTGCTTGCTTTTTGCTTTAGAAATATGCTTCTTTTTTACCAGTGAAGTATTGTGCTGTTCTCCAACAGTTCCTGTGCTGTCTCTCTAGATAATGGTGCACATTAACAGTGATGAGAGCAGCAGCGCTGCAAGAAACAGTGATGTTTCTAAAGATAACTCCAGGCCTTTAAATTGAATTATCAATAGTGAAATGGTTCTTTTTGCCAAGCTGCTACCCTGTTGCTTGGCTGTCAACTTTCAGAAATTATTCTTCACTACTGACCCATAACTGCAGTGAATGTTTCCTAATCTAATTTTGAAAAGTGTCTGTTACGCATACAATATTGAAGAACACTATGAAAGATTTCAATTTAGTACAGCACAGTCCTTGAGAAGACATACTTTTAGGTGGAAGACATTCTGGAACAGTTCATTACATTTACATGTGTTATAATGCATTGGCACAAAGACAGAAAGAGGATGTGCCTACGACATGACAGGAATTTCATGATTCACGGTTATTTTCAAGTCCGTATCTGAAGTCAAAATTTTCCTCTCTGACTTGTGTCAGTGGCATCTGTGGTTCAGGATTTCTTGGAGAGAAATGGGATGCACTGGGGAGGTACTATGTGGGGGTTAGCAAAGACTGGGGAAGGACTTGGAAGAGAGATCTGTTGCAGGTCACTAAAAAGACAAAACACACTGTCTTCAGGAAATCAATCCCCTGAACAGAAATTAGTTGGAAGCTAGAAAAGTATTGAGGAAAAGGCTCATAATGCTTACTCTTTCCTGGGTGCCCATTTATGCTTATCATTGGAAACAGGATACCAGGCTATATAAAGGCTCGGTCTGAAGCAGCATGGTTGGGTTTTTTGCTCTGAGATATGCAATAGTGGCTGGAGATGACCAGTCTTTCTTCCTCCCACCTGCACTTACCCCTGTTGCCCAAAGAAATACACATAACCTGCTATTACACTGGGCTGTATAATGAGTATTTTTGTTGATGATGTTGGTGCTGTTACACTCCTAATGGTGTGAACATATAATTTCAAACAGTCCAAAAGAACCCAGGAACAGTTAGGCTAGTAGGAGCAAGCCCTCATGTTGTTTTCCTGGAAACCTTAGAACTAGGAAATCCCTCCCATTATTTTCACTGCTTTGGGAGGAACAGCAAATGTTTGAAACATACGATTTCTAATCTAGTGTTCTTTTCTTTAGGTTGTGGAACTGGAAAGTATCTCAGTGTCAACAGTCAGGTCTATAATATTGGCTGTGATTACTGTGGGCCGTTGGTAGAGATTGCAAGGAAGAAAGATGATGAAGTTCTGGTATGTGACAATCTTAACCTTCCCTTTAGGGACCAGTGCTTCAATGCAGTCATTTCCATTGGAGGTAAGACAACATACATGCATTCTGGTCGACAGCAAATGACAGTTTTGGGACATCCTTTTCTTTCCGTGTGTCTTCTTTTCAGTTAAATGTTTTGAAACAAATCCCTTAGAATCACATCAAGTATTACTGAATTGAGTGCAGTAAACATGAAAAAAACCCAATAGTTCCATAGCACTGTTGGCCAGGGAAGTATGTGGATATGTTGTTTGTTTATATGTGGTCTTATTCACACTGTGGAGAAAATATTTCCTTCCAGCATACATTTTAAACAAGTAAAAACTAATATAAACATGGCTGCTCAAAGTTTAAACAGATTAGGTGGTCAAGATAAACTCTTGGTTCCTCCTTAGGATCTGTTTTGACCAGCAAATGCATTGAAATGAAAACCTGCTTTCTCCATAGCAGAACTCGAAACTCATGTTAATTATTATGTGTTATGAATTCAAATTTACCTAAGAATAGTCATGAAATAAGAACTTAGAGCCATTCAAGTGCATATTGTCTGAGTGAAGCATCTCAGCATCTTAACTCCTCTACCTCTCTTTTTGAAAATCTTACTCATAATTTGAGAAGTATAAACTGGAAAAGGGTAGATGAGGAATAGTTAAGAGTACTGAGTTACAGTCTACATTTTTAGCTCTACTCTTGATTGAGCTTCTTTCAGGCTGTTTCAGTGTATCAGCAAAAATATAAAGTGTGATAATTATTATTGGTGGGAATCAACTATCTACTTGAAAGATGAAAGAAATGTATCTTTAAAAGCTTTTTTCACATATGCAGGGTGAAGGAAAGGTGACTAATATGCAAACAGTATCTATATGACTTTGATTTCATGTTGGTTAGTTAACCAGTGAGCCCTATTCACATTTCAGGTCCTGTAGTATAATTTCAGTGCTATTGGATCAGCTGACTTTGAAGTATAGTGTACCTATCTAATGTTTATACTGATTACAGACCTGACAAGATTAAAAGTTCACATGGTATTTCTGTACATTTAACAATAATGAACTTTAATCCTTCTTGAATAGAGACATGGTATGCCTGTGTCCATCTAATTCTAAATAAAGTGTTTTTCAACCCATTCCAGTGAATAGCAAGTATTTATGTACATAGTCAAACACTCTTCTTGGCTTTGCTGGTATCCTGTTTATAGAATATGTATTTCTGCAGAACCACAAGAGTGATTATATAATTTAACCATGAAGAATATTTAACCCATGAAATGAATTGTTTAGATAGAGCTTGCACAGATTCTGTTGATTGATTGGCACTTCTTTCTGATGAACTAAGCTCACATGCTTATTCTGTCTCTGTCAGTTTTGATATTATTTTGCAGGAGGTTCTGTGGTGATATATGGCCTAACTCCAGTATGAGAGAAAATATCAGTTCCTTTCTTCCTTTCTTGTTCAAGAAAATGAAATAGCTTTTTCTTTTTTTTTTCTTTCCCCAAAGTTTGAGAAAATGTTGACAAGAGTCAGGAGGACCTGGAAACAAACACTGACCTTACAGACTGGGAAACTCTTCACAGAGTTTGATAAGAGTTTGCTATCTTGTGTTCTCAGCTGCTTGTGAGGGCCTACTTAATAGCAACTGCCAAGAATGTTTTTCTTGGCTTGTGGTAAAAAAGCTACATTTCTCCCCCTTGGTAATTTAATAATTTTGAAATTTTGAATAGACAGGGCTAGTTGGACACACTTTTCATAATTGCAGTGTTGAAATTACACTATTTCTACAAGTAGAATTGGCTACTGTCAAACAGCACATATAAAGATAATTTTTCTGCAGGTATGAAGATGTCTTTAGCTAAGAACATATACTATTATGACATGTTGTTGTATGGGTAGATTGAATGTTTTGCATGTAGAAGTGGCTGGCTCCAAGTCCACTTGAAACAAATTATAGAATCAGTCCTCTTCGTGTCATTGACTGAATCAAATCTAGTACCGGTGACATATAGAGCAATGTGACCAACATGACCAGTCTCAGTGCAAGCTGATGTTTCTGAGAGTTTAGAGAGAAAATATCTGCCTTAGCTATTCTCTGGCGTTAAAATTGATTTCTTCGGGTGAATAGGGAGATGGAAACAGTGTGGAAATCTTGAAATGTATCTTTAGTTCACATTGCAGTGAAATTTGAAAATGTAGAAATTATCCTGGAAAGAAAATTCAAATATAGTGATCAATAGTTTTATTTTGAATTTTACTTTTTATTTTTTAGTAGCATAACATAATGTAACAAAAAAATTATCATTCTCAGACATTCCATTCAGTGTAGACTGAGATACTTCTCTTTTTTTTTTTCTCCTCCAAATCAATCTCTAAAAGTAATACCTTTCTACAAAACTAAAGCTATGAAAAATATTTATCTAAATTTTCTCACCAGCTCTTTTGAAACTGCTCTGTTATAAAAATACAGAATATCTTTTTACTGATACTACATTTTTCCATATTTGTTACATTGTGAAAAGATTTTCTGTTTTCAGTAAGCTAAGTCTGAAAAGTGTCCCCAAAACTGAAGTCAAACTTAATATTAGCTAATTCACCTAAAGGCCGTGATCATGCCATGATCTTTTATAGGTGATGTAGGGAAACAGAAGCTTCCAGCTTATACTCCTGACTTTTCTTGAATCCCTTGAACATAAATGTAAAAGAGAGCATTCTGGGGTAAACTTGCGCTGTGGTACCAATAAATTCAGCACTTTTGCTGAGTTGCAGTGAGTGGTGTTTGAGATATGTCAACTAAAATGACTAAACACATAGAACAGGTTGAAGATGAAAATGCTGTGTCCTTACCAATATTCAATACATAATGCCTTTTCTTTTTTTTTGCAGTGATCCATCATTTCTCAACTAAACAAAGAAGAATCAAAGCAGTAAGGGAAATGGCAAGGGTATTGATACCTGGAGGCCAGATGATGATTTATGTTTGGGCTATGGAACAAAAGAATCGTCGCTTTGAGAAACAAGATGTATTTGTTCCTTGGAATAAGGCCTTGTGCTCACGGCATTTTTCAGAATCAAATCAATCTGCAGATAAGGGTGAGTTTCTGCATGCTGTGAAAAGCCAAGACATACACCCTGCACAGCTAGTCATCTCTGATTGTAGCTACCAAACCAATCTGCAGCCAGAAACGGATTCAAAACATTTGGACCATTGCTTATCCAGAGCCTGCTGCATGAAAATTTCTGAAGGAGAAAACAGATTTTACAGTGCTTTAGGAAGATCTTTCCGCTCATGGTTTTTCTCCAGATCCCTTGATGAATCAGCCCTGAGAAAGCAAACTGACAAAATAAAGCCTCTGAAAAATGAAGGAGAATGGGCAAACAGTACTGTACCCGTTCAGCATTCACGACACTGCAGTTTGGATTTAGGTCGCCATGGGACACTGTTAAAAGAACAAAGTTTAGATGATGATGATGTGTTTGTGGAAAGCCTGGCTCTCAGAAAAACACAGTGGTCACCAGCCACAGATGCACTGGAGGATTTAAGTTTAAATGGAGGACACCAAAGTGTAGCTCAGGGCAAGACTGAAGAAGCTTCATTTATAAATGGCCCAGTGGATGACAGGGACTACAGCTGCGGTTGTAATAAAGGTGGTGCTGGTAAGTCTAATGCCAGCAAGTTTTTGAAAAGAACTTCAACAACTGACTCCACTGACTCTGCTTTGGATTCAGCAGTGTCTGTTGGGGACCAAAGTGATGCCATGTTGGATACAAAAGCCTTCATGCGTTATTATCATGTTTTTCGGGAAGGGGAGCTGAGCTCTCTGGTAGAAGAGAATGTGCCTGAGCTTCAGATACTTTCTTCCTGCTATGACCATGGAAACTGGTGCATTATTGCAAAGAAAAGAGGAACATAGCTGTAAAGAGAACAAAGCAGAATTCAGTGACCGAGGATTTTAAGCTGCTCTTTGTGTTCCTGTGATTGTGGAGTGTGACATGGAGTTTGAATCTCATGTAGTCATATGCCATTCATTTCCAAGTTGTTATCTCTCTACCTATTTAACTATCTAATGCAAGGTCTGTATATAGGAATGTATGTGGTAAACAATATTTATGTTTTGTTAAACTTTTATGAAGTTAAAACTGGAGAGTTTTATATTGCTTTTAGCAATAACTGTGTTTTTAAATATAATTTTCTATTGAGAAATAAAACCTTTTTATAAGACAAGGATCAGGGCATCTTTTATGAGAAATATCCTCTCAGTAGAAAGTTTAGGCTTTATTCTTCAAATGCTGAAAATGTGTCACATCATTACTCCCTGTTCTTGAAGTCCTATAAATAGAGACATAGGTACAGTTTAAAACGTACTTCATTGTGTGCTGCTAGAGTGCATGATGCAGAACTGGGAGCAAGCATGGTCCCAGTACTACTTAGTTTGGAGTAGAGTTGTTAATGAGCAAAAACTATGTAGAAAACAAGCTCTGCATATTCTCTCTTTTGAGGTTTTTATTTGGGAGCAAATGACAGAACAGATTTTGAACAGCATTTTGAACTTTTGTTTTAAAAAGAATTTAATTTGTTGCTCAGGTGCAGGTTTTTATGTGTAAGGTCTCACAAAAACTTTATCTTAATTTCCTTTGTAGTTTTTTGTTGGTTATGTGTATGTAGAAGTCAGAGGGATTCACAAGAGTATCAGTATTATGTAAAGGTTACAAAATACCAAATACTTTAGATGATATATATATCTTTTTGATAATGCTGGGAGCTAAGATAAAATTAATAGAAATCCAGTGCATATCTGGTCAGCTGTCATATTTGCTCTCCTCATTCATTGACATGAGAATATATATTCAATGTTGTGTTAAATAACGTAGATGGGAAGAGCATACAGGTCCAGTATGTATATAAAATACAAATTCTTGTCTTCTGCAGTTTAAATTAATCTTTTGAGACCTAAATGATAATAGATTGCTTAAACAACTTTCCTATTCCCTGTAAGACATAAATTTTGCTGAACATGGTAGCCCATCATTATCCAGTTGTACTAGATTGTAGCAGTTGCCTTTATTTAGTTCTTCACACTGAAATATTATCTCAGCCCTTTCAGTGGGAGCCTTATGATGTGGTTATATGTGCTGTGGATAAAATGTACCTGGCTTCTGAAGATCAGTAATGAAACTGTAATTGTTACGAACAGAAGCAGCACTACAACAGGCTAATTGCCTTGTATGGAGTTACTCCATTTCTAGGCTTTGTCAGCTGGTATGATTTCATGACCTTTAATGAAGCTGCACAGTTTCACCCCAGAGATCAATCCTTTTGATACAGCAGTTTTTGAGACCCACATAATAAACATGTTTGCCCTATTAGTGAGCAAATAACTTTCAATACAAAGCAACAGGAGTGAAATACCAAACTTTTCCAGTCTATGCTGTGTAAGTAGATGGATTTTGGGTTGTTCAGTAGAAAGCCCTGATGGTGCTCAGTATTTTTAGATGTAGCTGCCCAGGAGTAATTGCCACATGGTAATGTATTATAGATTTATTTACTGGCGCGATGCCTGTAGAACAATCATCTTTGTCTTCCTCATAGTTTGAGATCCTTGTACTTTATCCTTCTTGGATCTGTACGATTTGCACTTGAAAATAAAAGCGTGGTCAAAGAACCATGCATCTCAGACTTCTGAAATATTTTTTCACTCTAAATATTACTTTTGATACAGCCTGGGTCTGCAGTTCTCAGACACTTTGTCCGAGCCATACTTCAGAAAACTGACAATATTCCCTGCATCGCTGCGTCCAACCTCTCATGGCTGAGGGGCTGCTCCTGCTGCATCCCGAACCTCCAGTTTGAGGAGCACAGTGCAAAAATGCCCATGTTGGTGTACTGCAGAGACAGCATGGATCGTGCTGAGCTCCACAGTTTATCTGCAACATGCTCATGTTGGACCAGTGAGGCCTGCCTCATTTGTTGGGAATTTCTGGAGGAGCTTGAAGATTTTCGAAGACTAAGTTGCTTCCACATAAGATATTCCAGTGGATATTCATCACCTCTGGAATCTGAGCTGTAGTTAGGGAGAGGGTAGTTGGTTATCAACCCATATCCAGTTTTGAAAGTTCATCCCTAATTTCCAGTATGCAAAAACTCTATTAGACATATATGAAAATATTTGTAAAAATTTATGAATCTAAACTGACAGCTGGGTTTAGTTAACTGGAAGAAGGAACATTATAATTTGTTATCTGCACTTCTGCAGTCTCTCTGTGGAGTATTCAGTGTGTAGTCAAGCAGGCTGATGAAATTTGGGGTAAACTAAGAAAGGAAAGGCTTCTGTTCTCTTCACAACAGAGATTTGCCATCCTTGCATGAGGCCGAATCTGTGTTTGAGTGTCCAGTGAAAACTTACTGCTCTATCAGCTCTGTGAATAAGAGCTGTCACATCAAAGCCACTGAGGTACTTTAAACAGCTTTTGTGTTTGTAGACTTTCCATGCATTGTTTGGTTTGAGATTCTTAACTGGGGATCCTTTTCACGATTATTTGTTTCTGTATTGGATTTTCTCTTGTTTTGCGCTGATGCCATTATGTTGCATCACATACAAGTTTGAATTGTATTGTTATAAATTCCTGGGGGAAGGATTGGTAAACCGCTTTCTTTTCAAATATTCAGTTTTCCTCTGAGAATGTATAATCACCATGTAACATAATTTTTATTGACTGGGGATCTGTCTGCTGAGGTCATGAATGTGAAGTCTGCACAGCAAGCCTTTATTGCTGTATGCGGTCCCTCATCTGTGAAGGCTGCCTAGCTCTGTAACAGCTTTATTGTCTCGTAAGAAGCCAGATTACCTCACTCAAAGCATGGTGGATGTCTCTCTTGATTGGTTTCTCTTTTGATGAGGCCCATCTTAAGTAAAATGTAATTTCCAGAAGAATCCATGTGATCCCAGTCTTTAATAGCTTACAGACATAGTTAATGTGCTCAGAGAAGCAGAAGATGGTGTATACCATCAAAAAATCCATAGTAAATGAATGAATAAACTAAAACCCATTTGTCCTTGCATGCTAAAACTCTCAGCAATGTCCAGGCTGCAAGATCTGACTGTTAGAAGGTAAAAGGCAAATATGTTCTTCTGTTTCTTTTCTGACAAAGTGGCAATAGTCTCACCTCAGTTATGCCGATAACAAACCTGCTTTTGACTGCAGTGGGCTAGGGTTGCGCCTAAGCTGCTCATCTAGCTTCAAGTGGCACATGGAGAAGTCTTGATTACATGAGAAAAGACGTCCTGTTTTTTTGCAATTTAATTTACTAGGATCATTGCATTGTCATTCTGAACTGGCTAAACAAAAGCTGCAACCTTATTACTCTTACAGACTGTAATCCAAATGGACAATTGCAATAAAAAAGATACAATTGAACAGACTTATTTTTGAAGGACAAATACAATTGCAATCTTTGATAAATTGTATTTTGCCTTTTTTCTTTGTTTTTTTAATAGAGAAAATGTTTATATTAGAAGTGCAAAAGTATAATTTTTTTTGGTACTACTGGTGACTAATTTGCTTTCTTCCATGCTTATGGTGTAGGAATTTCAAAAGCACGAGTGAGGAATGAAAGCTGTAAATGTTCTAGCAGATTTTTTTCTGGTATATATTTGTATACAGGTTACTTATGTGTGCAGTTTAAAATGCTGAGTGAAGAGTTGTATATGTTCCACCAGCAGAATATTGTTAGGGAACCACATGGATTGATTCTGAATAGAAATAATCGCTCTGATCCCGTATCCTCTCTGCCTTGTCATGTCTCCATCAGCCTGTATTCATGTGACTGTTGGGCTGTATTAGTATCAACATTGTGTTAAATCTATTGGTCTACCCACTTTCTTGCTCAGCACTTTTCCAGGATTTGTGGCTACTTTAGTACTCCAGGCAAATGAAGTGTGTCAGTGTTAAATATATACTATTGTATATCTCTTTTGTGAATTCAACATTCTTTTTCTTACAGTATATGAATTCTGGCAGCTACTGTGATTTTATCTTCCAATCTGCTGGTCAAAACCATACTGAGGGACTGCTCTGTAATCAATTCTTTGTCCATAAATGGAACCTATTCTCTAGTATTAGATAGAAAATATATCCTACTTGGTTAAAATATTATTTCCTACAGGACTTCTATGCTGTCAGATTAGTTAATAGATACGTTAGCCACTGGAAACTCTGTGTCTGGGAAAGTTCTTAATGAATGTTAGATTTGAGAAGACTCTGTCAGTGCAGTTTGCTCAGTAAGTTAGACTTCATGGATGTGATGCAGAGAAGGTAAGTACAGTGATTTGGTATGAAGCCAGTGAGTCTGTCTTTACTTCAGACAACCATAGCCAACCTAGCCATAAATGTGATCACTTGAACTAGGTAAATAAAGGTGATGAAATATGGTTTTTAACCACGTCATTACTATATGTCCTGCTGATGATAGAAAAGCAGGATGGTCAGCAGAATTAATTGTTACAGACCTACATTTCCTTCTCCTGATCTATTTATAGTCATACAGGACTAAGCTTTGTGATATAAAATTACATTTAAGTATTTCTTTAGTATTGTTGATGTTCTTTTTGCACCAATTTAAATCAGAAAGGAAAAAGAATGTAATTAGAATTATGCAGTTGTCTGGTGAGGTTACAGCTATACTGTGTTAAAAGTGTTTTTACAGTTGCAGTAATTGTTTATTGTGTTTGTACGATTGCAGTGATCACTTATTGTACGGATATGTTTATTATATAGTAACGACTAAGGGCCTACTAGTAATTAAGCACTATCCAGATGAGTATTAATACATGTCCGGTAGTACAAAATATGTAACCTAATAGTATTTGGATTATGGGAAAATAGTATGAGCACAGACTGGACAATAGGGTGGTAACAAATGTAATTTCAGGGGGATATGGAGGGGTCTTTATGAATGGGGAATGAATTAAATCTGATATAGTGTTGAGAAAAGCTAAGGAAAAAGAGCAAAGTACAGATTTGACCTTGCTCAACTGTGCCCACAGTCTGAGGTTGCATTTGTTTTACCTAGTTACCTCTTCTAGCATTATAATTGCACTGGTACAAGTTTTCTATGTAGAAAGGATTGTATGTGGACAGATTAAACAAGTATTAATTCACAATAAGGTGCATATTTTCAGCAGTTAATGGATCACAATGGCTTGCTGTTATAATTTGTGCAGTAACTCAAGTATATTGTCCAGAGTAACGAAAGGATTGCTCTGAGACTCCCCCGTAATACAGTACGTATGTGCATGTCATAGAAGAATGTACCAAGCATGTACCTGCATCTTTGATACATAAATTTCAAAATCTGCTTTGAATGAATTACTAGATACTCGGTTTTCTACTATAGTAGTAAATGTATTTAGTATTTTGCATTCCGATAAATGTGATTGCATAGCCCCTCTTTGCTTGATTAATAATCACAGGCTCCACTATTTCTATTTATTTAATGTATATTTCTTTATATTTCTAATTGAATTTGTTTTCTTCTTTCCAAGCATTTCCTTCCAAAGACTTCATTTGAGTCCACCTCCTTTCTATTCAGACATACAGCCAAACAACAAGTGTAGCAGTGGCACCTCAGATTACCACAAATATGTATGTATTTCTCATTTTTACCCGTAAATCTCTGCTTATGATACTTCCAGGCTGTTTTCATAATTCTACCTCTGACAACTAAAGAAAAAAGTAGAAAAAACTCCAACCCTTAATACCTCAGTGCATCAAAACAAACCTCATTACAATGACCAGTTTAGGGGACTATGGGCACTTTAACGGTGCATAACGTATTAGTGTCATCTTCACATAATTCAGCTGTTATTTATTCATCATTGTCTTCACTTGGGTACCTTTGAACCCTTTAAGCTATGCCTACATCTTCCTAGAGCTTGCCATGCTCGAGGACAGCAGATGCCTCTGTTGCTGTTGTGGCAATTTAGCACCTACACCTGCTGCTTCTCCCAGTGCCCAACAGAGAACAGTTGTCTTAAATAGAATCCAAATCACTTATTTTTTTGAAGAACAACCAACCAACCAACCCGTCCCAAAACCACCACCACAAAAAAAAGACACTAGTAGGAGTTACTTCAGCAATTATGTTCATATCCAAACTGAAATGGAAAGGTGCGAGAAGAAAGAAAAAATGAATACTGTGAGTGGTGCTCCTAGCTTTGAAAAGATTCTTGGATATAAATTCTTCATCCTCATTAGCCCAGTTGATAAGGTGCTACACTCAACTTTGCTGAGAGGTCATGTGGATGGGAGTGTGGATGTGGGAACAGTGAGGTGGTATTAGGTTGCCCTCTTCTGTTGTGACAGTATAGGTTGATTTCTGCAGAATATTAACTGTTGTTACTGATTGTACAGCATCTAAAATTCTATTTCCTGAGTGAAGAAAGGTTGCTTGTATGGTGCTCAGGCATTTTGAAACTGTCATGAGTAATAGAGACAAAGATGAAGGGGGGCATAAATGAGCAGATGTTCACTCTATAGCTGAAAATACCATGTTTTACCAATGTGCTAACAAAGAAATCTCTGTGTGCAGTCAGACTGAAAGCTTATGTTCCTCTTGCACAGGATAAAAATGAGTCGTTTGTGGTAGGGTTTTTTGGTAAGGCGACATATTCTTTTCTGCGTCTTCATAGAATAGACTATGCTACATGTCAGGATTACTGAGAATAAATTGACCCTTCACAGGTCTGCTTCCTTACCATAGGACTGACAGGACAGTCAGATTTAGTTCTGAACTAAAATTGGAGAGTGTAAATTAAAGTGTTTCTTGTGAAAGGAGGAATTAGCCACTTGGACAGAACAAATGCTCCAGTGCAGAGAAAGCACAGCCATTCAATACAAGGTTAAACCTTTCTCCTTAAAAGAGGGAAAACAGACTGTCTTGTGGCTCACTAGCCAAAGCTGCTTTCCAGTGTGTCTGAGAGAACATCAGAGATGAGACAGTGATGAAATTAATAGAGAGCAAGTCACACACAGCATTTCCAGGCTGCTTTAAATTAATGTTTTATTCAGTGACAGCCTGATGAAGGTCCTTGCCTGTACTGAGCACTAGCAGCTCCCATCAACATCAGTAACAGTCAGGAGTGCTCACTGCCTCTTGGGATCTGGTCCTATCCACTTATGAAGACTGCCTGTTCCAACATTGACCACTGGACCATTTAAAAAGGTTACTAACTCATGAGTATTAGTTTTAAATAATGAACAGTTACAAATATGCATGCATATATATTTTGATGCAAACTTTCTTTTTTTTTTTTTTTCTTTTTTTCCTTCTGCATGTATTACTTACATTACAATACAATGGTAATTAGTGCTTGGTACAGTTTCTGAAAGGTAAACAAACCATCTGACAATGTGGAAGAAAGGACTAAGCCATCAGTACAAATGAACTGCCAGACAGGGCATGTTTGGGTGAAGGCAGTAGAGAAGAAGGGGAGGGTGTTAGGTGAATCACATTAAGAGAGTAACAGAAAACTGCTCAAGCCTGAGAAATCTGACCTGATTCTGGGAATAATTACCTCAAAGTCTGATTTCTTCCACCGAATCTGAAGCCTTCCACTGACTTCCCTGGACTTTGTTGTTCTTAGAAATGCCTGTTTACCCTGGGATCTTCCTTTCTTTGATTCATACGAGAAACAAAGATCCCTGGGAGGTTTACTTTATGCTTAAATATATAGTAGACCTGTCAGTTTAATAGTGGAACAAATGTTTGACCACAGTTGTGCAGGAGCGTTTCCATAGTCCCTTGTAGACTGTCACAGGCACACCCAACTCCCTTTCTCTCTCCAGCCTCTACGTAAGATTCATGAGGAAACAAAAATAAAAATCCAGGCATGAAGGGCAGACTGGGGCTGTGACATGTTCTCATCTGCTTCTTGAGCTGGATATTCAAAGCACCCAAACCTTGCATCCACATTCTCAGCTGCCATGAAAAATACCTAAGGATCAGCTGGAGATACCAAATTCTGGAGTAAAAAAACTTTTGAAACTTACTTATGCAAAAACTGTGATTCTGTACCTGAATTTTCTTTTGAGTTACATCCACTGAGTTTGCTGCTGTTTGGGTCAAGCTCCTAACTGGGAATTTTGCCACAGAGAGTGCGTGCCTGCTACTGGGATGCAGATCTTTTGGAGCCAGTATAGGAAAATGTCTGGATGCAACGCCACATGTCCTCAGATTCACCTTTGCCTTTCAGTTCTCATAAAGACCTGATAAGTATTTTAGTGCTGAGCAAAGAAGCCTTTCAAATATGAACTGAATTCATAATTGACATATCTATGAAATATTAAACAATCCATTAGTGTCTCTGAGCAGATTACCCACATGAGCCCTTCAATCTGTGCTGGATCATGGCTCTGTGGTAACGGAAAGTAGCATGAATGGGAACTCATTCACTGGAGACAGAGCACCAAAGAACATGTTTAAGTGGATATTTAATACGGCAGCTACATAAACAGTTTCAATATTCTTACACTGAAGTTTGAAATAAAGAAAAAGTTACGTGCAGTGATAACTACTTGATTACAAATACAGAGATTTCAGGGATGATGACATGGAGACAGATTGTTGGCAGATGAAACTGAAGTAGGGGAAAGTTATATCTTTCTGCGCTTGAGTCAGAAGAGTTGTTCCCTCTATGGGACAGGTGATAGGATGCCTATGTGAAACCATGGGATGGAAGGAGGGTCAAACAAGGCGGACATGATTGCACATTCCCGAACTTCTAAACCTGACCCATTGCCATCACTGGAGAGATGTCACTCTTGGTGAATGGTGCAGCTATGAGAGACTCATGGACCCCTCCTCACAACCTGAGGAGATAACTATGAATGACGATGATGTTCAACCACCAGCATGGTCTGTTTATGAACTGCATGTCTTTCGAAGGGTATTTGGTAGGGTGAGCTTCTACAACATGTCAGTTCACTGAAGGCCACATTGGTTACATTGAGTTGACAGTGTGAAAATCATTGCTGCAGCCTCTAATATCTAAAGACTCATGTTCTCTCTCAAATACAAGGGGATTATACTGAAAGGTAACATAATCAAGGAAATACCAGCACATGATCTGGGGCTACATTTCAGCTGGTTTGATCCTTCCATCTGTACCAAAGCTGGCCA